TCTCTCTTTTTCTTTTTATCTCTCTCTCTCTAAACACACACACACACACACCACACCACACACACACATACATACACACACACACACACATACATACATACATGTGTGTACAGCATGTGTTTGTGTTTTTAAAAATATATGTACGCAAACAAACATTTATAGGAACATATACAATATACACATTTAAACAAACATACAAACTCCCAAAACCAACATACAGACACATAATCACACACGTATGTAGTTCATTTTAAATTTTAATACTCATACACTCCCTCATCATCTTAGTCACCATCCTCAACACATTTGTTATCATCACATTATCATTTTACATATCACCGGCATTTTATCTTTCATCTTCTTTTCAAACGTAGTTCAGTCCTCGTGAATAAAACAACTTTCAATGGCGACATTAGCTACAGCAGTGGCAGCAGCACCAGCACCAACAGCAACTGCAGTAACCTCTGCAACAACACGACCAGCAGTACCACCGCCAACAAAACAGCTGCGAAGAAAAGCACAACAGCATTTAGATTCGAGCAGTTATGGCCCATTCAAAAGTAATCAGACAACACATTCCACAGCTTCAGTTGCAAATTATTACACTACAATTGACACTAAACAAGCCCTTAATTACATTATCAGGCAGAATAACAGCGTTTACTTTTACATCTGTTGAATACTACATTACTAAATACTTACGACAACTTTGATTCTAGTTACTACAACTATACAAACTCTGCTTTTAAAATACTTAACTGAAAATAAAATACCGATCGAAGTTGGCATTTTTGAAAAATTTTTCAAAAGAAATTTGGAAATAAAAATGTCTTTCTCAACTGCAAGGAAACAAGTTTTTTATCATTTTGTAAAAAATATTGTTTGAGATATCTCTTATAATTTTACCACAAAATAAATATATGTATGTGTGAATGAATGAATAAAAAAAATTATCATAAATAAATTTTTTTAAAACACGACAGATTGCTCAAGCCAGCAATTTTCATGCTAAAGATGGCAAAAAAACAATAAAAAATATTTATTGCTCCTGAAAAAAGAAAACCATTTTTCTACAATTTTTAAAAAAAGAATTCATCGAAATAGCGAACAGAAATAAAAATGAATCTGAGAGCAAGAAACAGTTAATCAATTTTTATTTCATTCTTGTATTTTTTCAATCAATCAGTCAATCAATTGTTCAATCAACCAATCGACTAACCAAATAACTATTCATTGCTTCTACTATTCACATTGACAACTTATTGAAAAATTTTGATGATACAAAAGACACAAAAAAACGATATACTGAACCAACCAACCGATCAAAACTAGCCAACTAATCAATCATTCCTACATTTATTCATTCATTCGATCAATCATTTATTCATTCATTCAATCAATTACTCATTCATTCATTCATTCATTCAATCGATCAATCAATCAAATAATTAAAGTGGTCAAATAAATTTTTGTAATATTTCAGATGTCAGACAGCGCAATACATCATTCTAGTTATTATAACTTCTGCCTAATTCAACTGCGTGTGTGTGTGTGTGTACACGTTTGTGTATGTGCATGTATGTAGTGGTGTACGTGTTTGTGTGTTTTTGTTTGTATGAAAGAACAAAAGAAAGAGAGAGCAAAAGAGAGAGAAAGAGAGAGAAAACCTAACACACAAAATTTTTTAGAGGCAGATAGTTAGATATCAATTATAGTAAAATTCTTATTGAAAAATCAAACCAAAACGAAATATTGAAATGAAAAAGATGCTCGTTGCAGTAGTAAAACTTAGTCACCAGCTTCATGACTGGCTGGCTGGTTGGTTGGTTGGTTGATTGGTTGGTTGGTTGGTTAGTTGGTTGGATGGTTGGCTGGTTGATTGGATATGCATGCATGTAAGTATGTTTATGTTCTGTTGTGCTGGCAGCTTTCTAGATTGCTACTACAATCACTACATTTTCACTAAACTGTTGTTATTAGTAATATTAGTAGTGCAAGTAGTAGTAGTAGTAGTAGTATTAGTAGTAGTATTAGTAGTAGTAGTAGTAGTAGTAGTAGTAGTAGTAGTAGTAGTAGTAGTAGTAGTAGTAGTAGTAGTAAAAGCAGCAGCAGTAATGGTGTTACTACAACTAGTAACAGCAGACAATAGCATTACTATTAACATTACTATAATTGCTATTAGTGTTCCATTGTCTGACGCCGATATTTGTAATTACTTTTATTGCTAATAACATTAGGTTTATTGGAAAAATCTTATTAGATGCCGAAAAAAAATCAAACAAACAAACAAATTATCAAACCAAAAACATCATGTGTTGTTGTTTGTTTGTTTGTTAACAACATTAACAAAATAATGACATCAACAACAATAACATCAACAACATTTAAGATAGCAACAACAATTACATCAACTGTAATAACGCATGCAACAAAAATTATTATAAAATCATCAACAGATGAAAATTCAAAATGAAAAAAAATAAACAACAACAACAAACAACATCAACCACAACAAACAACAACAAACAACAACAATAACAACAGAAACAACAACAACAACCAACCAAAGCTGTAATACTAGTTAGCAAAACTGATTAACTTTTAATATTGAATTACAAAAATCTTCTTGCAGAAGCGCTATTACATGCAACTACACATTACTACATATTACGTACGTACGTGGTATGCGCGAGTTTTGTAGTTTGTATGGAGGTTATACAAACACGTACACGCAATCCAAATGAACAGATACATAGAAAGGCATGCAAAATGTACGCACACATAGTAATTTCATCTCGCACTCGCCTGGCCAATCAAATTAAAAAGTGAATGCTCTGTAACAGTTGCGAATCAAAACATCGCTTGCTTCATTACAAGTTTTTTTAACTTTCTCTCTCACATTTCTATCTTTTTCTCTTCTTTCTCTTTTTCTCACTCTCTCTCTTTCTTTCTTCTCTCTTTCTTCTCTCTTTCTCCTTCTCTTGATCCATATTCTTTTTTCCATAATAAAAATTAGAATATTTTTTAAATGTTTAAATGTTTTATACTCTAATATAGATAGATGAATTGTGTATCTGTATATGCATTTACATAAAAATACGTGTATGCTCACACAAACACACATACACAAACACTCACACACAAGCACACACACAAACACAAACACACACAAACACTCACACACAAACAAACAAACACACACACACGCACGCGAATTCATACCTATATGAACATGAACACTCGCCACGTCACAGAAATATGATTAATGATGATGACGATTATTACAACGCGGACTGAACTGGTAAGAAGAGAGAAATGCGATGAGAACGATGATGATGAGGATGGAAATAAAATTGACTAAAATGGCTAAAGTGATGATGATTGACACGACGACGATGATATTATTACATATTACATATTATGATTACAAAGACGACGTTGATAATAATAACATCAATATACAATACAATATACATACCATTACCTTGGATACACATATTTATATATACATAATGGAAACATTTAAATGTTTTATACAATTCAATACATTAGCAGATCTGAAGTAGGTGCTGTTATGGTCATATCCATTTAATTAATTTATAATTCTACAAAAGAGATTTTGATTAATGACGGAACGGAACGGCGTGAATGTGTTTCTAGTAAAAAACCCCGTAGGCTACTAAACGCCAAATAGACGGACAAATTAACGAATTATGAAGAGTTAGTAGTAAATTGTTAAAAATTTGGCTTTCAGATGATAATTTAGAACTAAATATTTTTATATTTTATTATTATATTTTTTTAAAACTCGAATTAGAGAAGACTGATCCAACACCATTCACACACAACCAAACACTCCTACGTTTGTATAAACTTCTCTATTCAATCGCGTCTTAACAAACACAATTCATCAATATGCAACGTACATCCGCCAAAAAGACACACACACACACACACACACACACACACACACACACACACACACACACACACATATATATATATATATATATATATATATATTAAATATTTATTAAATATTAGATATATACATCAACATTCATCTTTCCTTAAATATTAATTGCATAACATCACTCCATACATAAAACAACCATCTCGTGAAACTTATATAGCCATAAATCACATCAACAATCGCATTGTGTATGGAAATGGTATCAATAACACTAGTAGCATCTGTGACATTAACATACAATTGTAGCATCAATGTCATTAGTAACATTACATCAGTAACCCAGACGACCAATGACATACACATTTCTATTGATAATAGTTATGTAGATATCTACAAACTGTTGCTACTTCATAAATTATTATGCGCAAACACATACACACACACATACACACGCAAATACACACACAAATACACACATACAAACTCATATACACACACACGCTTACGTATATGCGTTATACGTATAAGTGGATTTACATTAATATAGATAGGGTTCATATAGAAAGGATAGATGATATATAGCACTAACACACATACATACACACACACACGCATGCACACACACATGTATGTATGTATGACGATAAGGGACAAATTTATGACTCTGTTTATTTATTTTAAAATGAAGCGTTTTTAATCATTTTTCTTTTTTTGTAACGTAAACATCAACAATGAAATCTTTTTTTTAAATGTAATTTATGAAGACGAAATAAGGTAATGATGATGATGATGATGGAAGAAGATGACGATGGATGATGACGATGATGATGATGATGACGATGATGATGATGATGACGATGATGATGATGATGACGATGGTGGTGGTGGTGACGATGACGAGGCTAACAATGATGATTACAATGATAAATGATAACAAGGTAGACAGGGAAAAATGTAAATTACGGAGAATCAATAATTCAAATTACGTTTTTGCTTAATAACGTGTGTCGCTATCATTGCAGATACCGTAACATTGTCATAAGCTGCTCATGACAGAAGTGCTTTCAAAAATTTTTGTTGACAAAAAATGAATATCAATTTCTTGGGAAAATATTTGAACAAGGCACTGATCACCACCATCTTGACCACAACAGTCATCGTCATGCTCCGCTTCAGCAACATCATCAAATATCCCATTCATGAGAGACTGACATCAAGCAGATGCCTGAATTACTTGTTGGATCATTCTTTCCTGCAATGGCACGAAGTCCTTCACGTGGATCCTACCACTGTCAGCCTCAACGACGTCATCAACTTTTCAAAACCGCCTCCAAAATCTGATCACGGAAGCAGCTATATTCTAACGTTGTCCAACTTCGAAAAGCCGGAAAATGTCAGTCAATTTCTAACGAAATCAAACGTATGCCCGGGTTATTTGGAACACTTTCTTCCAACGCTCGAAGCAGATGAAGTGAAGAAGATGCAGAGGTTACTCATGCTCTTTTCCAAAGTTGCCAAACTATCAAGGACCAGTTACTTTGTAGCCTATGGCTCTCTGCTCGGCTATGCGAGGCACAATAAGATGATGATACCGTGGGACGATGACGTCGACATTATGATGAACTTCGATGACAGGGATCGTTTTGTGAGGGTTTTCGAAGAAGAACTCGCAAAAATCTGGAACGACAAGCACAATTACGATCTGGCAGGTTACCTGAAGCCCTACGTCTTCCATGACAGGGATCGGTGGAAAATATGCTTCCATCAGGACATATCGACGGAACTCCTCAAACATTTCTCATTTCCATATTTGGATATTTTCTTTTTCAAAACAATATCCGACGCAGCAAAAGTGACAATAGCGTACAGTTCTGCGTTTGCTACAAACTTCAGTTTCAGAGATGTTATGCCACTGAAGCCAGATTATTTTCTAGGGGTCAGTCTCTTCGTGCCTCGGAAGATTAAAGTATTTTTCCAACATTCCGAAGACAGAGAATGTCGGTCAGGTAACTACAGGCATCGAGATGAAAGTTCTAAAGATGAAAAAGCAATAGGATGTACACATCTAAAGACGTTTTATAATCTCGCTGAATTCTGAAAATACGTTCTCTTCAGTCGGATGACGACCGGTGAATGCTTCGAATTGTTTTTTTTTTATTTCACCAATATCTTTTTTAAAATCAATTATTAAATCGCAAGTTTTTACATGTTTTTTACATATCATGTCTCTGGGTTGGTCGGTTGGTTGCATGAGATGTGTGTTGTACGTGTGTGTTTGTATGTGTGTGTGTGTGTGTGTGTGTGTGTGTGTGTGTGTGTGTGTGTGTGTGTGTGTGTGTGTGTAGACGTGAGTGTGGTACTGTGCATGTGAGTGTTATTTTAGTTTATATGATTCTGCACCTTGATTATTTTATTTATTTATTGACTTTTAATGTATCTTGAATGATTTTTGGCTTAAACGTTGTTGCATTGTACCAGCCTGTGCCTTTTGACAATTTATTAGTATTATTTAAAAAAATAATATCAATAATATTTTGTAATTTAACACATAAACCAGAATTTGTACACATTGTTTTTCGGATTAGGTTTCTTCAAAATTTCTTCCTAGAGTAGAAGCCAAAGACTAATTATCATCGATTAAAAATCTGTCCTAAGGGTTTGCTCAGCGTCATTTTAACAGCAATGCATAATTATGTATTTTGATTTTTAAATTTAAAACCCGTCATGTTTTCTCGTTGTTAATTGTAATCACTCGTCTCATCATCATCTTCTTCATCCTCATTTTCATCATATCATATTTTATGATGGTAAAATACGATGATGAAGATGATGGTAAGGGTACAAATATTGGTGCAAACGAAAATGATGGTGAAAATGAGGAAGATGATGGTGAAGAAGAAGATGATGATGATGGTAAAAATGATGATGATGGTGATGAAGATATGATGCTGATGATGATGATGGTAAAAATGATGAAGAAGAAAATGATGATGAGACGAGCGGTTACAATTAACAACGAGAAAATGTGATAGGTTGTAAATTTAAAAATCAAAACAACCATGCGATACATAAATTATAATGGAAGTGGGAGGGTGACAGCGATGACGACGTCAGCGATGATAATAACGACGATGAATGTGAAACATTGCGAATATAAAGATGATGATGATGATGATGATATCAGTGCTGATGATATCAGTGCTGATGAGAGGTAGAGTTATAACGGTGATTAGCATTAGTTGAAATATTAATCGTAATTTTGATGGTGAAAAATGCTGGGTTATGATAATTTCGGACAGTGAAAAAATATTTTGATCTTAGTACTGTCAAGGATATTAAACATACCCCAAATTGTGAATAATGCTGCAATAATTTAAATCGCATAGTACACTTGCAGACACTTGCAAATACTTCCAGGTAATTAATTCTCGGTACTTGTCCTTAAAATTTGAGTACTTAGACTTAAAAAAAAGTACTCGGAAAACCTGACGGGAAAAGTTTAGCAAACTACATAATGCTCTATTCATCTATTGCTGTTTTTCAAGTACCTACTACAAATGCCCGCCAGTTTCTTTTGCGTCTTTAGAAAATATTCTCAACCCAAACCACTTAACTTTGACTAATTACTAGAGTTAAATGTCACACAAGTTTACAAATTTATTACATTTAAAATGTAACGATCTGTCTTTTAAAAAAAAAAGTTTCTTCCGATTATGAATGATAACGTGTTAGTTCAAATATTGAGGTCTAAAACTTGATCTCTGTACTTTTAAGAATTAATAACGCTTGAAATATGAGTATTTATACTTGAAAGATTACTTGAGAACATTTTTGCTTATAATTAACGTTACGGATGTATGCATTTTGTCTTTGTTTCAATTAATTTTATGCAGTTTCGACGAATTCAGAAATGCTTACATACCATTCTTCACTAGCTTATTTAAATTAAAAATATTTTACCACATAGACATACATAGGTTTACCCCACGACATACATACACAACTTGTATATACTAAACAGCCTCCACACAACATACATACAAACAAACAAAACATGTATGTACAATGTAACGTACATTCAATCCACACAACACACATACACACACAACTTCTATGTACACATACACATAGCATAGATACGTTGTATTAATATGAATAGTACGGCCATTATACACCCAACACATAAACTACATACAAATAACAATAATAATAACAACAACAACTACTATTGCTAAAATAATAACATCAAACAACAACACAAACAAAAAACAACAACTTTAAAAATTTCAGAATTCATCACAAGAAGATAAATAATGAAATAATATTAATAACAATAACGTAAAGAGGTGCATAAGTTGAAGAAGTGATGACTGATCCTATTGTATTCATCGGTACGATACTCTTCCCCTTCGTATCCTTTTATATCTTTTTGTCTGTTTTTTGTATGTTTTTGTATGTTATATTATCGTTTTGTATGTATAAGGTTGTATTTGTATCTTTTTAAATGTATTTTTGTTTGTAAATGAGTTGGTATTTATTTGTATTTTATGTGTGGAAATGGAATTTGATGTGAGTTCGAGGAAAATGTTCAAAGTAGCAAAGCAGTCAATGAGGGATAGGAAAGATGTTATAGGGAATGGATGTGTTTGGGATGGATCTGGCAAGTTGTGCATAGATAAGGAGGAAAAAGCTCAGGTGTGGAAAGCTCATATGGAAAGGTTGATGAATGAAGAGAATGAGTGGGATGGAGATGTGGAATCCGCGGTCACACACGGACCTATAGAGAAGGTGACGATGGAGGAAGTAGAGAAAGCAGTTAGAGAAATGAAACTAGGTAAGGCGACAGGGGTTTCGGAAGTGGCGGCAGAACATATTAAAGCGAGTGGGGTGATAGGAATTGAAGTTATGATGAGAATTGCTAACAGTATGTTTGATGATGAAGGTATACCTGAGGATTGGCGACACAGTGTGTTGGTGCCGTTGTATAAGGGCAAAGGAGATGTGAGAGATTGTGGGTCATACAGGGGTGTGAAATTACTAGAGTACGGAATGAAGGTAGTGGAGAGGGTTAGGAGGTTGAGAGGAGGTTGAGAAGTATGGTGACAGTTAATGAAATGCAGTGTGGGTTTATGCCTGGTAGGGGAACGGTGGATGCGTTGTTCATGGTGAGAATGTTGCAGGAGAATTATAGAAAGAAGAAACGAAGATTGTACGTGTGTTTTGAGGATCTAGAAAAGGCTTTTGATCGAGTACCGAGGAAGGTCATTGAATGGGCGTTGAGGAAGAAAGGAGTGAATGAGAGACTTGTTAAAGCTGTGATGCAGCTGTATGAAGGGGCAAAGACAAAGGTGAGGGTTGGAAGGGGGATGTCGGACGCTTTTAGTGTTAAGGTAGGAGTGCATCAAGGATCAGTGTTATCACCGTTTCTGTTTGCAATTGTGATGGATGTTGTGTGTGGAAACATAATGGAGGGGTAGTTATTTGAGATTTTGTATGCAGATGATTTAGTCTTGATGGCTGATAGCATGGAAGAATTGCAGTTTAAATTTGACAGATGGAAAAGTGTTATTGAAAAGAAAGGGTTAAAAGTTAATATTGGTAAGACGAAGGTAATGGTGAGTGGGGAAGGTGGGGAGCGAGTGATAAGTAAAATAGACCCCTGTGGGGTATGTGATAGGAGAGTGAAGGCTAACTCGGTATTGTGTATAGGATGTCAGAAATGGGTGCATAAGAGATGTAGTGGTGTGAGGGGGGCATTGAAAAAGGTGGAAGGCACGTTCAAATGTAAGAAATGTGTTCATGGTGTGATTAATAGGACGGACGCAAGGACGGGGTTGAGTGGTGGTATTGAAAGAGTGGAAAGCTTTGTTTACTTAGGGGATAAGCTGAATGCGGATGGAGGATGTTTGAGCGCAGTTACGGCTAGAGTTCGTGTGGGATGGATGAAATTTAGGGAACTGGGTGGGGTACTGTGTGGAAAGAAATGGTCAGTGAAGATGAAAGGGAGGGTATATAAAGCATGTGTGAGAGCAGCGATGGTATATGGTGGTGAAACTTGGGTGTTGAGGAGAGAGGAGGAAAGTGTACTGCAGAGGGCTGAAAGAGCTATGTTGAGGATGATGTGTGGGGTTAAAGTGAAGGATAGGAGGAGTAGTACAGAGCTGATGTCAATGATGGGACTGAATGAGGACATTGTGACATTGATAAGGAGATCGAGATTGCGGTGGTATGGACATGTGTTGAGAAGGGATGAAAGGGTCGGGATTAGGCGAGCGTTGGAGTTCGAGGTTGAAGGAGTGGTAGGAAGGGGTCGTCCGCGATTGGGATGGAGAGAGCAGGTGGAGAAGGACAGGGTGAAAGCGGGGCTGCGTGATACTGAGGCGAGTGACAGATGTGGATGGCGTCGAGGGGTATTTCGGTTTCATCATAGGTAGCCAAACGGCAACCCCCGATCTCGGGGAAAATGCCGTCTAAACGTGTGTTGTTGTTGTTGTATTTTATGTGTGACTGTTTAAAAGTGAATTGTATTAATAAGAGTGGTATCAATTTGTATCTCGTTGTATCTTTTTTTACCACTTTGTATGTATTTGGATTTTTTGTATGTTTTTTTGTTGTATATCTTTGTAGGCGTTTATATTTGCTATTCTATCATTTTGTATCATCTTTTTATATAAATTTGCTAAGATAATAATTATCAGAAAATATTTGAAATGGAACAAACATCAAAGAGTGTAAATATCATATCTCATAGCCTCAAGTTGAAAAAATAAGAAGCAAAAAAACCACCAAAAGCACTGAAATTCAAATTTGGTAGAGGCAAACGAACGAACGAACGAACCAGCAAAACGAACCGGCGAACGAACGAGTGAACGAACATGAAAATAAAATTTTAAAAGGCGAAACACGTGTTGTATACATTAACAAATTTCCTCCTCATAAACTCGCTTTCATATAACTATGTACCAACATACATACATACATACACACACACATACACACATACATGCACACATACAAATGAACACTAATATATACAACAATGTTTTGTGTTTGTATACTTATCTTTATTTTATAATTAGATTGAATGAAATGAAAGAT